TCAAGTGTGCGCTAAAAGCCTCAAAATCCCATGACACAAGCCAACTGAGCCACCCTCACCACCTTGAATTTGGTTACACGACAGCAGCCAAATCCATCAGAACTTTTGGAAGCCCAGCTCAGATGTGAACGCCAGGATTAGAAATACAAACTAGTAAAACGGTGTCAAATAAGAAAATAAGTGAAGGGTCTGGAAATAAAGGAATTTTGAGGAGAAATACCAGTAAAGCTTTTAACTATGCTGATGTCCTAATATTAAGTCGGAATGACGCATTCCCTTCAGGGATTCAAAAGTGGAAGAGAAACACTGTTGAATGTGTCCTTCAATAAATTAGCTGTAACTAAATCAGACACAACAGTATGTTGGCTGTTTGTTCTCATAGAGTTGAAGTTTACTTGTTCTAATTAATGCTATATCCATGACATTAAAACTTTTACTCCTCAACTTTATTTGCAAAGGAAAAGTAAACAGGATCTTCAATAGAAAGTAATTTCCTTGAAAAGTACAGGAAAAAGAAATAAACCAAAACTACTTTATCATCCTATGAATAACACTTTTGATTTATGAACAGGCGACTGCATTGATAATTGAGCTTTCAAATAAAAAGGCGACAACAAAATACTCAGGGTTAAATATTTTATTTTGTAATAAGCCTTACACCAGGTTCACTAAACATTTTGTGTATCACCCAAATAAGTTACATTCATTCTGAGCTTTCATGCAGTTTTAAAAAAGTTAAATTTCTCAAAAAATAATTTTCAAGTGAGCTGTAAGAAACTCTGCATAACCATGCCAGAATTCTTTCATCTTTCACATGAAGTAAACATTCCAGTTTTCCCTCCTGCGTTGACAGGACGGATCAATTACAAAAGCCCCTCCAAGTTTACACTAATTAAATGGAGACCCACTGAAATTACTGAGACTTTCTGAATACCTGCAACAACAGTAGTAACGCTTCCAAATATGAGCGAGACCACTGAGGTGAGCTGCAAGAAGTGACGTTTTGCCTGAGAATACTAAAGTATCTTAAATGAGAACCTTGTGGCAAAGGGACAGACCACCACCCACGAGCATGCAGGACGCTGTATTACAAAGTAGAGGCAGCAAACCTCACGTTCACACGCTTAACCATGACTTTTCAAGGGGACACGGCGTTGATGCAGTCTTCTACTATTTCAAAAAGGTAGTGATAGACATCAGTCCTCCTAGCAATGTCAAGGGCCGTTTCATCCAAGTTGTTTTTCAGATCTGGTTTCACGTAGCGGTTCATCAGCAGGAGCTCAAGGGTTTCTCTGCTGTTTTTGTTTCCTGCGGCGATATGCAGCGGCGTCAGCAAACCGTTGGTCTGCGCGTTGATGTCTGCGCCCTGCTGCAGTAAGAACGCGGCCACTTTCGTGTTGTTCCACTTACAGGCGCTGTGCAGGGGCGTCCAGCCGTCCACTGTCTGCGCATGAACGTCTGCCCCTTGGGCCACCAGCTCATGGGCAATGTCCAAGTGCCCGCTGTAGGCAGCTCGATGGAGAGGAGTGTACTGATCCTCATCACGAGCGTTAACTGGAGCCAGCTTTTCGGAAAGGAGCCTCTTCACTGTACTCAGCTATTTAAAGGAAAGCAGGTAATTTAATACAAAACTCTGCAAACAAGATGTATGTGGTTTACTCTTCTGAAGTTTTAGGACAAAACAACTTCTGTCAGTCTCAAAAATTTCAGTGCAACAAGAAATTTTAAAATAAAACCAGTTATTTTTACTTTGTTACTGGGTGGGTTTTTTGGTGTGGTTTTAGTTTTGTTCTGAAGAGATACAACATGAACCGTCTGGTACAAAAATACAGTCCCAGTTCCTCCCACCTTGGAGCATTTAGCTGCAATGCCTTAGGAGTACCTTTGCCTTAGACTTTCTCCCCTTTCACTGTGAAGACATAAGTGCCTCCACGGGGCTGTAGGTGGAGCGTGTGTGTGTAAGAAAGGCTACTAATGAAAATAAATGTACACAAGGGTGCAATAAGGCAGGTGGCCAGCAGGTCGAGGGAGGTGATTCTGCCCCTCTACTCTGCTCTCGTGAGACCCCACCTGGAATACTGCATTCAGCTCTGGAGTCCCCAACACAAGAAGGACATGGAGCTGTTGGAGCGAGTCCAGAGGAGGGCCACGAAGATGATCTGAGGGCTGGAGCCCCTCTGCCGTGAAGACAGGCTGAGAGAGTTGGCGCTGTTCAGCCTGGAAAAAGAGAAGGCTCTGGGATGATCTTATTGCACTCTTCGAGTACTTAAAGGGGGCCTACAGGAAAGCTGGAGATGGACTTTTTACAAGTGCGTGTACTGATAGGACAAGGGGCAATGGATTTAAACTGAAAGACGGCAGATTTAGATTGGATATAAGGAAGAAATTTTTCACTCAGAGGCAGTGGAACAAGTTGCCCAGAGAAGTTGTGGATGCCCCATCCCTGGCGGTGTTCAAGGCCAGGTTAGATGAGGCTTTGAGCAACCTGGTGTAGTGGAGGGTGTCCCTGTCCATGGCAGAGGGGTTGGAACTAGATGATCTTTGAGGTCCCTTCCAACCCAAACCATTCTATGATTCTGTGATAAGCTACACACAGGAATCTCGGTTCTCTCCCCCTCACTGCCAGGAATAAAAAGGTTTTCCCCCTAAAGAGATAGGAAAACAGTCACTCATTTTTTGCATATGTAGCTTTTGAGAAAATAAAATTTCAGACACGCCCTCCCCACTCCAATGAAAAGGCTTACTTGCCATGAGGACAGAGCCTGGCATGCTTTCAGTTTGTACACATTTAAGAGCAGGGCTTTTCTTTTAACTTTGAACTACAACCAAACCCTTTGTTCTGAAAGCTAATTGATCCAGAAATATTTTAGTGTGTGTGGGCTACAAAGGCAGATGTTTTACACACAGTGGTTTGCAAAACTGGATCAAAAGAGTTCTGAGAGAGAAAGGAAAGTGTTGGTGAGTGTTTGTTTGTGGAAGAAACTATTGATATCTGGTGAAAAGAACGTTCTTGTCAGCGATACATACAAACAGAATAAACACCTTACCCGATTGTTTTCAGCTGCCCAGAGTAGCAATTTCTCTGGATGTTTTTCCATTTTTTTTTCTTGCATTTCGTACCACTCCTCACTTCTTTCTTGTTCATCATCGTCGTCATCAGACTGTCCTGACCAACAGCTCTGAGTTCCTACAGGAATCAAATGCCTGTGCGTCTCCAGCAATTCAAGTTGGTTAAAATTCTCCGTAAAGTCTTCGAACTGCTCGCTGTCATCATCATCCTCATCGAGTTGTTTGCCTTTATTCATTTTCAGTTAGCATCTGTAAGTAGCAGACATACGATATTTATAATAACTTTTACTGTTATCGGTGCACTAATTGTCAATAAAAACATTGGATGGATGACGCCAACATCAGCAACACCACGGACAGCAAAACTCAAAAGCAAACTCAACATTCTTCCACTAGACTGGTCTTTGCCAGCTCTTCCAGAAACCCGACGTAATATCCATGCAGGAAAACCGGTGTTATCCCAATCCAGCAACGGCACGCCGTGCGGGACCGAGTGGGGGTCCTTTATAGAGAGCTCTCGAAACACTACGCATTTTAGAAACAAAAGATTTGGAGAAAATACCGGACTCGAAAGCCGTATTCCTGCCCCTTTCCGGG